ACGGTAGGCTGCTTTGCCTGGGTCCCACAGCTGCAGTGCAAGAGGCACATGGGTAGAAGAGACTCCATTCACTTCGGGCAGCTTTTCTGAGGCTGGAGGCCTGTCTCATAATAAATCCTAGGCAGGGCTGGAAGGTGATGTGGTGGTTAAGGGTGCTAGACTTCCCCGTGACCGACTGCAGTTCAAGTCCCAGACTTGGTGGCTTGCTTTTTCACTTTCCCTCTCTCTCTGATCAAACTGGAAAATAATAAAGTTAAATAAAATAATTCTTTAAAAAAAAATAGATCCTAGGCTACTTTTGTACCTTGCTACCTATCTACAAGTAATACATACACTTATATAACTTTATGAGTGTGTTGTTTCACTGGACTCAGGCAAGTTGGTAACAAGTGCACAGTGAACTCCCTTATCCTTAGTTTCCTTGTCTTTCTTTGAAATGACCAGCCTCTCTTCTCAGAAATCCCTCTCAGTACAAGGATGGGGAAGGCATCATGGATGAAGAGGGTTCTAGGCCAGGTTCCCCCTCCAACTAATCTCAGACTCAGCTCTGGGACACAGGAAAATGGGTCAGTGGGAAAGAGGGCCAGTGCTGACTGGGCCAGGAGGGAGAAGTCCTACAGTCCAGAGATAAGAGATAAAGGAGTTGAACCTACTTCCAAAGAACCTTTTTAGTTTTGCTTTTCTGAAATGGTTCCCAGATAGAAGATGTGTGTGTGTACTGTGGTGAGCCTTGGGAGAGGCATCTGGGAGGGGATCTCTGCCTGCCTTACCCTGCTTCTGTGATTGTCCTTAGGGAATCTGGGGAACAGGCTATTTTCCATCTTTCCTACTCATCCTATCCCTAGGTTTCACAGAACCACAAATAAGAGGTGGAGGTGACTAGAAATCTGGGAAGGAGGATACTCCTTACTCTGACCTCTAATCCTGAACCAAACCCTGACCCCTAGCCATGAGACTGATGGATCAAATGACTTTAAGGGCAATAACACTGCAAATTTCTCCCAAAGGGTAACAGTGCAACCATCCATCCCATTGACCAAACTACTAGATAAGACATAGCATAGCTCCAGGGACCAGCAATTAGCGTAATGGCTATGTCGTTGGACTCCCGCATAGTTGACCACGATTTGCATCCTAGACCCAGTGGCTTAAAAACTCACGCCAGGCGCATGTGAGTGCGTGCCCCAGATCCCAAGAGAAGGGATTGCGGCATGGCCATCCCCCTGGAGGGTAATTTCTCACTTTCTGTCTCTCTGTCTCTTTCTGTCTGTCTGGCGAGTGCACACGCCCTATAGCAAAAACCTCTAAAAAAAAAAAATTAGCTCCAGGGAGGTTACAGAGGAGAGACAATGGGAAATATATTCATTGGGAAGCTATTCTGCTATCAACTCTTGTACTGCAATACACTTCTGACCCTAACCAACCCAGTTAACATCAGACTTTACAGGTTTAGAGGGAAGGTCTCCCACAACACTTTCCCCACTTGAAATGGCAGCCATAGTAGGTTCCAAGCCACCTACATTTCTGACCCACTAATTACAAGTCTGAGAGGTTCCCACAAGCCCCCTCAGTTTCAACAATTTGTTATAATGACTCACAGAACTTAAAAGAAAAAGGGGGCTTTTTACAATTTATTTATTCCATAAGCAAGAGAGACACAGAGCAACAGCATCCAACAGGATCTGGATGCCAAAATCCACCCTCAGCATTAGTCAGTTTCAAATCAAAGTACACACACATCTATATACTCAGAGAGATCTCCAGTTGCAAACCAGGAACCTCCCTTGTGGGTCAGTCTTGCAGAGTGTTGCACTTTACTGCTGCACCACCAACTACACCCAATTTTTTATAAAGGATATAAATCAGGAACAGCAAAATGAAGAGATACACAGGATGAAGTCTGGCAGGGACTGAAATCTCTTTCCCATGGAGACAGAGTGTATAACCCTACTGGCACATCAATGTGTCCACCAACCAGAAAGTTCTATGAGCTATGGGGCCAGAGTTTTTTTAATTCTATTAGGTATTGGGCCCAGGTTTTTTTTTTTTTTTTTTTTTTTTGAAGAATTATTTATTTAATTTTATGGTGCCAGCAAGTGGTGTAGTGATTTAGGTACTGGACTTCCCACTTGGCCAACCACGGTTCAAGTCCCAGAACTGGTGGCTTGCCTTCTCACTCTCCTTCTATCTTTCTCTGGCAAAACTCATGTGAAAAAATCATTATAATTAATTATTGAAAAAAACAATTATTAATTTATTTAAATTTGACTGGGAAGGGAGGGTAGTGAGAAAACAAGCTGCCAGGTGGAACTACAGTTGGCCCATGTGAGAGTCCAGTATCTTAACCACCATGCTACTTGCCACCTCTAGTATCCAGAGTTTTTATTGAGGTTTCATTATATAGGCATGAGTGAATTGTTGGCCACATAACTAAAATCAGTCTGCAGCTCCTTTACCCTTCCCAGAGACTGGGCTGACTTAAAATCACATGGTTTATTTTCACAGTGTCCAGCCCCCATTCTGAGTCCTTTCATCTTTTAGCATAAATCCAGGTGTTATCCAAGAGGCTCAAGAATAACAAACACTCCTATTACTTAGGGAATTTCAAAGGTTTATTGTTCATATCAGGAACCAGAGACAAAGGCCAGCCGAATTATTTATTATACAACTGAAGGGAGATTTTTGGATACAGAAAATGAAAACTTCAGGGGGACCACAAATAGGAGACAGCCATAGCCTCCCGCAGGCTCATTCTCTCTCTCTCTCTCAAAACCTTCCCTGTCTTCTAAGGACTCCCTCATTCTCATATTCATGTTTCTGCTCATTCTCACACACAATCGTACAGACTCCAAACAAACAGAAGGATTCCCACACACCTACATATACTTGCTGCTCCCAGAGATTCTACTCATTTGTCCATCTTTGTCCATCCTTCACGGCCTCTGGCATGATACCACACATCTTGTCACATACTGATTTTCTTGCCAAGAGGGGTTAAAATGAAGCTTAAATAGTAAGGTGAGAAGTACAGCAACAGTCAGTGATTAGGTTTCAGAGAGTCTATAAAGGAGACTGTTCAAGTTCACATCAATATCCAGGTCCGAGCATGAACCTGAGGCTGTACCTGTGCCAAGCAGGTGTACCTTGTGGTGATTTTACATCCCTGTGCGTTACGTGTATTCCTGTGCAGTGTGCACCTGTGTGATGAGATATACCTGTTCCCTAGGTGTTCTTATATGTATGTGTCAGTTCCTGGATGGGTCTTGGAGCCTCAGGCAGCTTTTCTCTATATAGGGTCTGTCTCATCTAGCCTGGATTTCCCAGAGAAAGAAGACAGACAGTTCATGTGGGTAGAGGAGGGAGCAAAACTAAGGCTATGGCACTGGATACTGAAGTCCTGAATTCCAGTTAGGCCTATGGCTTTCCCACCCTAGGGTCCCTTGAGCCCTCATGCTAATGTCTAGCTCCTAGCACTGAGTAATGCTGACTCTGAGGACTCTACCTCTTAGTAAACCACCATCCAATTCCTGGGAACCTTTCTAGTGCCTGTTGCTATCTCCTACTCAAGATGGCTGCAAGGTACACTGTTCTCTAGTTAGAGGGTAGAGAATGTTCAGGCATTCCGGTCACTTCCTCCATCATCTGGGCCTCCACTCACCATCTTCCCTTCTCCTTGCTCAGTCCCTCCCATAAGGAAGCCCCTATAACAAGTTCCCAGATATAGTCCCCAGCTTCTGCTCCTTATACCAGGGCCTCTCAGCTTAGTTCCAGGGTTCAATTCATCAAAGTGAGAGGCTACCAGCTCTGTGTACCTCCACACCAGCCCTGGGTGAACTGCTTCATCTGGAGACTAAAGAAGACCTCTGCAATGACAAGCCTGGCCCTCCTACTGCCACGTCTCCATCTAAGATTCCAGCCATGACCCTGCCTCTTCTTCTTCCCCCAGAACAAGTGCCACAGCAATTAGCCATGACAGAACCAGAAGGAGTCCTATGTCTACATGAAGGATGTGAATCACTGTGGCCTGGGGAAACATGGACCAGAAGAGAGGACTAAGCCTCCAGTTCCTCTGCATCAGACCTGATGAAGCCAGGCAGAGCCTGGAGTGTGACTGTGTGAGAGAGGGTGAGAGTACAGCCTCTCCACACTCAGAATGCAGTGCTTCCACTAAGGCCATCTGGCACCCATGAATGTGTCTGCTATCTGTATGTGGCATAGGCAAGGGAAAATGGGTATGAAACAAAGAAGAGAGGAACAGGAGAGAGAGTATGGGTGTCCACCCCTCACATTTTAGCCTGAGGAAGCTTTCACCTCACTCATCTCTGGTCTCTCTTTCACATAAAGTCAGTCCAGCCACAAGGCTCTCTTCTCCCTCCCAAACTAGCTCTGGCTCAGTGTGAGGCTTCAGCTGGGATGCCAGAGGTCTGGGACAGCTGTTTCCAACCTCCCTCACTAAGTTAACTGCCTTTGGTTGGCTCTCCTGCAGCAGCCTCTGTTTCCTCCAGCCAGGCTGCCAGGTGCATTCTAACCATCTGGATGTTCCCTTTTGATCACCCCCTTCAACTCCACTCTAGATAATAAGCTCTCTGAGGGCGGAGACTGTGCTTATCTCCTTAGCTGCTATATCCTCACACCTAGCACAGTGTCTGGCACATAGTAGACACTCAGTAAATATTTGCTGGTGGAATGACTATAGGGGAAAAAAGTCATAGAAAGGTCTCAGCTCTGAGAGGAAGGGTATGACCCTCTGGTCATTAATTGAGTTGGCCAAGATCACTCGGCCAATAAGTATTTCCATACCTGGCCTGTTCTAGACTGAGTTCTCTCCGAGGACTTACTCCTCCTCAGCCCAGGGTCATGCAAGGGAGAATGGGGCAGGCAAGAAGGGCAATTGGCAGGTAGAAGCCAGGGATGAACAGAGTAGAAGGTAAGGGAAAACCGTCCCAAAGCTCTTTTCTTGCTGCGTGGTGCTGAAGCCTCAGTTCCAAAATCAGACTCCGTCACTACAAAAAGAGGGTCCTGCATCTTAATAAACCCGACTCCGCCCCTTAGTGACAGCTTCTGGCTCCACCTCCTCGGAGAGACATGATACTCCGCCCCTTCCGGGTGATAGGCAAGCCCCTCCGCTAGTGCGCGACGGAGTCCCTGTGACGTAATGGCAACGGTCCGTTTCCGGGGTGGAGCCAGGGAGGGCGGGAGATTAGGCTGCGCCGACCCCACAGCCCCCCTCCAGGTGACCCCAGCCCCTGAAAATTTTCATCTAGGGCCCCAAATCTCTTAGCTCCATGACCGCCAAACCTCTCGCCCTGACCCCCACCACATGCTCCAGGCCCCCGAGATGTCCGACCCTAAACCCCTTAACTTCTAGTGCCTCCCAAATCTTCAATCCCATCCTGTTCCCATGTGGCAATTGAGGCTTCCTAGGAATACCTGCCTCAGATTACCTGATAACTAGTCAGATTCGTCCTGAGAATGATGGAGAAGGGGACCTGGGGTTGGGGAATCTCTGATCCAATCATGCCGCTCCTCAGGAGACGTTCGGAACCCAGGACATGTCGGGATTGAGGAGATACGAGGTGGCGCTGGAGGCGGAGGAGGAGTGAGTGGAGGCGGGGTTCTGCGGAGGAGGAACCCAGCGGCTCCGGGGTGGGGGAGGGTGGGAGTTCTCGG